GAAACATGAAATTAAAGTAACATAATAGCTCGTAGAACTAACAATTCTGAAATTTTGTTGTATTTCAATGCAGTAAAATACTATTTCTATTATCAGTTTCCAGTTTACCTAATCAAGTGACAAATATAAAATTCACCATACTGTGTACTTTTTCACAAAAGCATTTCATCTTACCTAGATTTATATGATGAAAACAATTAAATTCATATTTTCCTTTAAATAGATGCACGTTTAAATGATACAAAGAATTTGCATGAAAACATTTCCCTATGTTGTATATCCTGAAAAATGTATGGAATAGTATTCTTAAATCAGATATAATATCCAAGATTGTACATATCCTAAGAAATTAAATCATGGTTGAAATAATCATTATTAACTTTTGCTCTAACCACAGTATAGAAAAAAATGTACATCTCTATTAGTATAAAGAAATATCAATAGAAAAGTTCACATCTTATGCATATACCCAAAAACTAATTAGAGAATGCTGTATTTGAAAAGAATTCTTTTTAGGTCAAAATTTAGTAGTCCAGAAATTGTGTTTTTAAAAAACTAACTGTTGATGAACTTTTATAGAAGGTATCCTTGTTGGCTTATACAATGGAATTTGCAAAATTACACTTAAGTTTATTAGAAATTCTTGGAACTTAAAAAGGAGATTCAGATAAATCTATTGGATCAAATTAAACTGACGGCAATTTCAGGAGAATACTAGATTGATCAATTATTGAAACTACAAAAATATTTTAATATTTTTCAAACAAAAAAATACAATGTACAATAAAAGAAATAAGAAAATTATGATATTTTAACAATCACGACTATCTCTATCAGTTGGAAAAGTGTATAGGGTGAATTCTCAGAAAGCACTAGAAGAAAAAGAAAACCTACTAAAACGTCCTAAAACTCTGTTCTGTGACCAGTCTCCATGACCAAGTTACCAAGGAAATTAACATTTTGAAGCTATGGAGTCTGAGTTTTCTTTTCAGGTTACACTCACCGATTCAGGTGTACTTTTTCTCAATTTATATATTCATCTGCAACAAACATTTTTGTACTAAAACTTTAGCCTATTTTTTCTAAAATCATTTTTATCATGGTTTTAATGCCTTAATAATAGATTTAAAGGGGCCTTTAAACGTTTTCAGGAAAAAAAATTGTAATTTGTCTCTCAATAAGCCTTACTTTTTCTAAAAAAATGTGTCTTTTATTTTACAGGGAAGAAAAAATGAAACTGAGTTTCTAGGGTCCTGTGCATTAAAATTGGCAGACTGATTTCATTTTTGATCCCATATAATTTCTGCTGTCCTTCCTTTGGCTTTTGAGGTGATCAATCACAGGAATTTGAACTGCCATCAATACTCTGTAACTGCAACGGTTCAAGTGAACTCCTTCCATCTTCAATAGCTGACACAGTGTCAACATCTGCTTTCAATAAAATTGTTTCTTTTTTTTCCTCAAGTAGAGTAAATCTGCTGACTGCGATCATAAAGGGTTGTGTTTTTCCCCCCTTTTCATGCAGATTTTTTCCACCATATTTTGCAACTTTTCCTCCAAGGCAAGTAAAAAAAAAAAAATTGGATAACTTAAAAAGAAATGTTCTTATTCCAGGTGCCAGGGAACTTCAAAATATAACTGAGAATATAAAATTTGGTGAATTAATGACACTGTCCCCATAATTTTGAAGAGACTAGTCCATAGGGTCCTGAATAAATGAGATTTTGAAATATGGAAGAAAACTCAGAGCTGGAACTAAATACCAGTAGAAATGGCACACTAGAAAGTCGGAGCTAATTAAGGAAATTACATTTAATCTCCCACACCTAACAGGAGGAAAAGATTCTCTTTGCAATAATTTCTTATAGAAAAGTAGTCATATATCTATTTGGTGACTGCAGAAATGGTATGCAAAGTGAAGAGAAGGGACCTTGGTGAGCTCAATTTAATGACCTGCTTACTCAACTGAGAGACATTTGTGGCAATTGGTATTTATTGCACATCTAATAGGAGCTAGGTAATTGATCTTTTGTGTATGCATATATACACATACATATGTATTCATAGTCACACACACACATATGTATGCATGTGTGTAATTTCCACAGCTTGACTGTTAGCTATGATCCTACTTTACTCTTGAGATATATATGTGAAGCCCAAAATCACACATTAAATTATGTCTCAGCCAGAATTTAGAGAACAACCTAATATTCAGACTCTTTTCCACTAATTCATTCTGCTTCTCTATTCTTCCTCAGTCAAGACTCTTACATATGTACTTTCCTTTTTCTACCACTTAGTGCCACTGTCCCCACTGGTGTAACACAGCAAATACTTTTTAACAAAGGGGCACACAGTAAGGGATAGAATGAAGTTTCTGGAAGCATAGTTTCTGATTGCCACTTTAAATGCAACCTTAAACAGAGAGTAAACTCTGAGGCTAAAGACTGTCACATTTTATTCAAGTCTTAGAACAGAAATGGGCAAAGATTCATTTGTATAATGAATAACAAGCTTCTCAAGGAAATCTTTTAGGTCAGGTCCTAGAATTTGTTTGTTTGTTTTTTTGTTTAAGTGTTATAAAGAAATGAATCCCTCTTTCATTTGCAATGTACTCATTCTACAAATGTTAGAACAATCCTGGCCATTCCTGCTTAACATAATAATATAAATAATCTTAAGAGGAAACAGAAAGAAGAAAAATTAGCTGGGGAAGTTAGGAGAGGAGGTTAACTTTCTGAAGAAGACACGTTGGTTTTTAAAAAGTTTAGAGATTCTTTTCAAATTAACTATGAAGAATGAAATAATCTGTTAGGATCCCAACTATTCAACATTCTGTTGTTCCCTAGCTCCTGATAGTTTAACAGTGAAAGCATAAATCTATTTAGAATTAGTGAGATGATTTTCTAGGGTCTAGTTCACAGATCTTTAGAAAGCTTGAATAAAGTCTAATTGGTAATATAGTCAAAGGTAGAGTGGTTTCAAATAAAACTGGGGGGGGGGCAGGTAGTAGCCCCAAATAGAGCAGTTTGAAAGTGTCTAAGTCCAACAACTTAATTTTGATGTGAGAAAACCAGAGTCAGAAAATGATTGCATTTTGAACTTAAATTGAGAATAGTATGCTAAATTATAACCCGGCCTCTTCTATGACTTCCAGGGGTAACGTTAATATGGGTCGGGTCGAGCAATGCCAGGTAACTATAGAGACAGGTGCTCATTTTCTTTCTACTTCTACTTTTGATCTGCCCCCGGGTGGCACTGTACCAATAAGACCTGGGATCCTGTTTTCAATCTTTCCTGTACACAGCATAATTCAGGTTCCCAATAGTTCCCCAGATATAGGAAACATTTATTTGAGAGTTGCCAGGAGAGACACAGAGTGAAATCTATATTCAGGCTGAACTCATCTCCTTGTCTGTTCTCTGTCTTTCAATTCAATTATGTGGACAGATAAGAAAAGGAGCAAGGAATAAATACTTTCCCTTTCTTCTTAATTAGGACAATCCAGTGGAATGATCAGAATGAATCTGAGTACGACACTGCTCTGAAAGAAACTGCAGAGGAAGTTAACAGGTTTTGAGGGAAATTAAGGCAAATAAGCAATCCTCAGCTAGTAATGGCGTGGGAACTACTCCATGCTTGTCTCTGACACAAGACAAAACAAATATCATCTTCAGTAAACTCTGTGCTTCATGGATTTGGGAAAAATTATGAGCAAAACAATTGTATCAAATCAAATTATAGATCAAAATGTAGGTAATAGAGCCATGCCACTCCCTAGAAATCTAAGTTCAATATTGTTAGTGAGTGGAAGATACCTTAAGGCTGGACCTTACATTGATAAAAATGTGCATACTGTCAAGTTAAGAAATCGTAGAGTGATAAGAATTCAAGAGACTGTACAGATTTATAACTCAAAGGATACAGCAGGCAAAAAAACAAATGCGTAAAATATAGTCAAGGGAAATATCTGAAAATTATCTGTGAGAACTCTGACTAGCTATACGTGGTGTGTTGTTCTTAGTTAAAATGTTCACATACATGATATACACAATTAAAAGGGAAAAGTGGCATTTTATTGAACATACTATTTCATGCAAGTGAAGAGAAAGATGAGAGAAATTTGAGAAGCCCTCTTTATATAACTAAAACTTCTATATTACACCAACTTTTTTCCCATGACCTATCTCTGGATGCAACTGAAGGACAAAAGTGCTTTTAAAGTCCTTAATCAATCAATAACTGCTTCTTTCATAATCCTAATTGTTTCCCATCAGTGTCTTAATGAAAATCCTGCTTCACTTTATTTGGATCATGAGGGCCATGTCAAGCTGAATTCTCAAATTTTCTATTTCTAGTCAAATTTCAGTAATTGTAGCATAAATTGAATTTAATTTCAAAATAAATTCTACTTTGCCCTAAAACTTTTTCTTAAAAAGGATTAAATCAAGTAAAACCAGATTTAAACTAAAACAGACTTGAAAAATTCTATGTTTAAAATACTACATATATAACATATTATTTTTCAGTTTATAATGATGGGTGACATTATCAGAAATAACCAGGGCTTTGTGACATGCCTAGTGTCTTCCCAGATATTATTTCCTCAAACTCTCTTCAAGGAAAAAAATCCATTTTTTAAATTGCCATGAATGAATAATTAGAAACAAGAAAAATAACTCACTGGCACTTACAGGTAGTGTGGTTAGAAGCATCCCCCGCCCCCCCCCCCCCCCCCCCCCCAAGTAGTTGTGTACAACCTCTGGTTCCATTAATCAAAGTTGGATCGAATAGAAAGAGAATTATTATACTCTAGGCAAACTCTCCATCAGATTGAAAGTTTATGCAAACTTTCTTCGTAGTCAACATCCAAGATACTCTTTGGGATAAATCAAAGTAATAAAATATCCTTTCTATAGTGTGGCCAGTCACAAAAAAAAAAAAAAAAAAAGCAAAACACTTTTCAAGTTACACATATAACTCAAAGCTAACTGAGCTAGCATGGAATTAAATCTTTACTGAGATTCAATGTAAAAACAATACTGTATTGGTTTGGCTATGGTTTAGCTACTTTTGTAAAAAGGAGAAAATATCAAACACTTGAGGTAACTTAGAAAGCACAGACAGAGCACATCACAGACATCTTAAAGATAAGCATCTTAAACATTTTTGCCAGTGCTTCTCTGAGAGCAAGTTCTTTAAACAGAACTCAACAATTTTTACAATATTAAAAAAAATACATCCCTCCAAAATAGCCCATCAATGCTAAACCAAACTTTCTGTATTTCTACAAAAATAGATGCACATATCGAGCTACAAAACTGTATTCCTGAAAGACTGAGCATTTTAATTTGTGGTTCATCTTTTCCTGACAAGGTGATTGGTTCCAAAAGAAAAAGACATTAAAATGAAACAAAAACTAGCCCACATATCAATAAAAGCAGGGAAACAAAAAGAAAGAGAGGGTTACACAGCTGGCAAAGGCTCAGATGAGGGAAAAACCAAATGAAAATGTTTTTCTTCCATGTCTAGGACCCACTCTGTTTTCTCCAGTAGAGGCTCAAAACCAGAATCAATCATCTGCCACTTCCTCTTCTCCTTCCATGTCTCGTGTCCCATAGCAGAATGGCAAATCCTGACGGTATATTTTCCCAGCGGGCCCCTGGCTTCATGCTGCAACCTGACTTGCTAATACTGAGTTTCAGTACCATGGTGATTCCTTGCTCTTGTCTTGATGCTGTAGACCTAGAAATGATAACAATGGGAAAAGTGAAAACCATGGAAATGTAGAGCGCTCAAAAATCAGCAGAACCTGCGATGCGTTGGATGGAGAAACCAAAAAGAGAATCCAGACAACTGTGAAGTCTGACCTGAGGGCAACTAAGCAAATTCTGTGGTTGAGCTCACAATTTTCAGACAGTCAACCAACACAGTGTGACAAAAATGCTAGACTAGAACAGTGCTACTTTCACAATACAAATTCTTTGCTATAGTTTCCATTTTCTTGGAGCATGAGTAAACAGCATGTAAAATAAAATATTTTATTTGAAATTTCAAAAGGAATTGACAGCAGGAGGAAAAAAAGACATAACCAGTCTCTGGGGTGTTCTGGCAGTGCTCCAATTGATATTTGCAGCATCAATCAAAACAATTCTTATAGACTAAAGAGTCATGAATAAAGTCCATTGTTATTTGGAAATGCATTCCACAGCACAATTCATATAAATTATGAACAATTAGACACGGTTAAAAAATAATCTAGTATTGTCAATAAAATAAATACAGTTAGTACACAGCTAACAGCACAAACCTATAATCTATTTATTAATTAATTTATTTTTATACCATATCTTCCTCCAGAAAATATGTTAGACAGTTTTAAAAAAATCCCTACTAAAGAGCTAAAAATTAAAATGTAGAGGTAGGTTTAAAAAACTGTGACAGAAGAAAGATATGTGAACATAGATTAACTTCAACTCAAAGCTAAAATCAGGAAGAAGTTTACCAAAGAGAAAACTTAGAAACCGTGGTTCTGATCTGGTTCTAATACAGTTATCTGATTAATTTCTGATAAGGGCAATACCCATAGCACCTTCAGCTTACACCTACCTGAAGTTACTTTCATTTTCCTTTCCAGCTTTATTGAGGTATGACTGACAAATAAAATTGTATATATTCAAAATGTGTAACCAGATGCTTTGATGTGCTTATATGCTATGAAAGGAGGACCATGATCAAGTTAGCACATCTGCCACCATTTCAGTTCACTTTCTTTTTGTACCCTGAAGCATAATCCTTTGGAAGAGTAAAAACACAGAATAACAGTTGCTCTCAAATTGTTTGGAACCAAATACCAAAATATGAAGGGAAGTCGTTCCCACATGTGGGTGGAAATGAGCATTTCTGTTGTTCTGTGTGTGCAAAAATCTTGGGCTATCTTCTTGATCCTTGATTGAAAACTGTTATAAATCTGGGCTGGATGTTAGAAACTGAATAGTAAAAAAGGCCACTCTTCTTTTTTTTTTTTTTTTTGAGTTGGGGTCTCTGTCACCCAGACTGAAGTGCAGTGGCACCATGGCAGCTTACTGTAGACTCAAACTCCTGGGCTCAAGTGATCCTCCCACCGCAGCCTCCTGAATAGCTGGGACTACAATTGTTTTTCAGCTTGTCAAAGAATTGTATAAAATAATAAGCATCATTACACAACTAGAGACAATTGGTGTTTGAATGGACCTTAAGGCGATCTACAAAGCCGACCACATAAAGGGAGAGAGAACAAACTAGAGAGGAGAGAAAGAATCACCTCGTAAAATTACCACTCCCAGTCTATGTGCTATGTAGCACGTGTGTCCTGGGAAAAGCCAACAACTGAATGCCAAACGACTGATTCCATTCTTATTTGTATTTTTCCCAAGTGCCCCAGTATTCTGCTTGATACAGAATCAATAGCGTTTCTTTCCCATTTCAGGACAAGAGGAAGATAAAAAGGGAGAAGAGGTAAAAGCAAAAGAAATAACAGGACCTGGGGTCTGTCAATTCACTCTAAGTTTGCTTTACTCACTTTCAAATGATTTTCTGGTCCGAATAATTTGCAACCTGACATAGTCTCTGTTGGGTAGCTCTTATAATCTGAACCATCTTTACTGACAATCTGCTGACTGCATAAATATTTTTTTCATTATTAAAACGTCTCATCTTCTGTATGACTCAGTATTTCCACACTTGAAGACTGCATCAATCTATAGAATGTCAGCACTGCAAGTCATGAATACTGCTGTAATCATCAAGTGGTTTGAGTGTCGTTCTTTCTTTTGAATAAAGGCAATCTCTAGTTCCCTTTGCAAAGACATATGACTCCTTCACATTCATGTGAGCCTTTTTTTCTGGACAAATATTGCCTTACTTAAGACAGGCCCAGATTTTCTAACCAGAATAATAGAAGTCATTCTATCATTTTAAATTCATCTCTTCAATTTTTTGTTTCCGTGTCTCTGCATTACTGCAATGCATACCTTAAAAGTCAATTTGTCTGTGGCCTGAAATATAAGACATATCTAATGGATCCTTGAGGTTTAGCTGCTTTTGGGTGGGAAGGCATAGATCAAACCTTTGCTTTAATTATACATTCATACTTTTAATGCATTTAAGAATAGATTCATAATTGTATGCATGCATATCTGTAAATCTCAAAATTGCCTAAAGTAGAGCTCAAGAAAGTAAGAAACCTCAAACAAAAGACCCTGCTAATGAATTGCAACAGAAAAGCAAGGCTGTAATTTATTTTCAGTTAAGACATTGGTAAGGGAACATCAGGATACTTAAGAGGCAACTAGTACATTTAGCTTTTTAGCAAGGGTGGAGGCGGCTAAAACTCTTAACCCGTGATCCTTATGTGACCTACATATATTTTGGATTTCCCAAGATTTTTCTTGCCAAAACAGAATGTATCCACTACAAGATTTGCTCCTATTCAGTCCTTTTTGCCTCCTCACTTACCCAGTCAAATCTTTTTGAAATGACCTCATAACTTATCCGGAGACTTCTCCACTGGCTGTCTAAAATCACACGTTTACTCTCCTTATGTTAATAATTCAATTTTAGATTTACTGCTTAGTCTGTAATATTAAAAAGGAAAGGAAAAAATTTGTAAAAATGACACCCCTGAACATTTTCTTAGGACCTGAATGAATATGTCAGGCATTGTGCTAAGGGCTTTCTATGAATCGTCACATAGGATGAGCCCAACCATGCTATAATAACATCCATTTCACAAATAAGAAAACTGAAACTAAGAGAATGGATGCAATTATTAAGCAATAGAGCTAGAATGTTAAAAGAGGTGCTTTGATGCCAGTGATACCAATCACATCATATAGGGCTTCCTTTTATGGGTTATATTGGCTGTAGGCTGGGCATTGGGCTGTACTTCCCCATTTCCCCAAGCCAAAATCATCTCACAAACGCAATTCATGGAAAATAGATTTGTTATACTCCTTTTTGCACTGTTTAGAAACACCCCAATTTAACAGAACTGATATCAAGATTAACAAAATAGCTCTTAGCGATTTTTTTTTTTTGATTTGGAGTCTCACTCTGTTGCCCAGACTGGAGTGCAGTGACCGCTCCCAGCCACCGCAGCCTCAACCTGCTGGGCTCCGGTGATCCTTCCACCTACCTGCTGGGCTCCGGTGATCATTCTGCCTCAGCCTTCCAAGTAGCTGGAATTACAGGTGTGCGCTACCACACCCAGCTAATTTTTTGATTTATTGTAGAGATGAGTCTCACCAAGTTGTCCAGGCAGGTCTCGAACCTGCAGGCTCAGGCAATCCACTCACCTCAGCCTCCCAAAGCATGGGATTACAGGCTGAGTCACCAACCCCGGCTGTGATTTTTTTTAACAATCCATCCATCATGTCTTTCCTAAAATGAAATAAACGACTCCACAGAAGTTTGCTATACTTCAGATGGAGACCACTTCAATAGTATAATAGGATATGTCATATTTAACGGATATGTTTTGTTATATGTATCTTTAGCCACCCCACCCCCTGCCAGACTTCTCCTGTGTGAACTCTTTAAGACATAGGTGGCCATTTGGCTCATGAGGTGGTTGTCAGAAGTAAACCAGGGAACAAAGACATTGAATTGTTGGCCTCAGAGTTTCAGAGTCTGTGATTCATTTAGGAGAAAACTCTGAAAGGAAATAAAAGGCCATAGACCTATTTTCTCACTTCAGTTCCAACACCACAATCACCTAACCACCAAAAAAAAAAAAAAAAAGCATTCAGAGCCAGGACGACAGCAAAGGAGTGTGAACATAGAAAAGAAAGTAGGGGTAATTAAGGACAAGTGAGAAGCCTTGTTCAAGGAAGAGAATCACAATATGATTCCTGTTTAACATTCCAAGAACCTAACAACCTTAGTTCGTTGGAGCTGCTATACCAAATACCACTAACTAGGCGACTTACAAACAATGTAAATATATTTGTGACAGTTTTGGAGGCTGGACAATCTAAGACCAAAGTGCCAGTAGATTTGATGTCTGCTGAGGGCCTGCTTTCTGATCCATAGAGAGTGCTTTTTTGCTGCATCCTCACTGAGACCATTCATGGAAGCTCTTCCCCATGACCTAAGCTCTTCCTTCACCTCCCAAAGGTCCTGCCTCCTAATACCAGGAGTTTGGGGTTAGGATTTCAACATATGAACTTGGGAGGCGGGGCATGAACATTCGGATCATAGCACTGACTATACAAAACAAGGCATCCTAATTTGTTTTCTAGCTGAGATTCTGAGCGATGGCAGCTTCACAGATTGACCTCCTGCAAAAGGCTATGGAAATAAGAAAACAGACATGGCAACAGGGTGGGTTCCAGCCTGAAAGACCTGGAGATACTCCCCTCTCTGGCTTCTCTCAACATATGTGTTAGTCAAAGAATCTTGAGGTTCCCATGGGTACCCCAAGTAGGGCACAGAAGTTAGTGCAAGGAGAATTCTGGGGGGGCCTGTATTTCCCATAGCTATGATGAGGGTATATTATGGAAGAAGAAATGGCATGGGCCACCCCAGGTGAGCATGCTGAAGGAATCACAAACACTCGGAACTGAACTCAGGCCAAATTTAGTAGGCTGTAATTAGAGAGAACATGGTACAGAGAATGCTCAGAGAAATAGATCAGAGGAGGGTTGGCGGTATGTCTGGAAATAATGGGCCAGGATAGGAATGAAACGTCAGAACCATGAGGCAGA